GTACCACATTTTTAAAATCCAGTCCTCTTTTGATGGACAGCATGGTTGGTTCCAGGTTCTTGCTATTGTGAACAATGCTGAGATAAACATTCGTGTGCAGGTATCTTTTTGATAGAGTGATTTGAGTTCTTCAGGGTATATTCCCAGTAGGGGGATTGCAGGGTCATATGGGAGGTTGATATTAGAGCTTTTAGGAATCGCCACACTGCTTTCCACAGAGGTTGCACTAGTTTACACTCCCACCAACAGTGTAGTAGTATTCCCTTTTCACCACACCCTCTCCAGCACCTGTTATTTTTTGAGTTATTGAAAATTGCCATTCTGACTGGAGTTAGGTGGTATCTCAGTGTGGTTTTGATCTTTTTTTTTTTTAAGTTATTTTGATAGTGACTTCCATCAGGTTGTTTTTTCTATTTGCTGCTGCACTAAGAGTCATTAGGTTTTGAATGTCTTGCATTCTTTTTTCTCTGGGATTTCAAGGTAGCCAATCTCCATTTTCTAGAACTAACCAAACACACCCTTCACTTTGGATGAGTTCACACCTAGCCCCTGTTGATTTCAATTAACAGGCTGTGTGAGCAAAGTCTTTTTTTTTTTTTTAAGGGCAGACTTATTTTTGTATATGACAGCAATGTAAGCTTCTTTCTGTCTTTATATTTTATGTTGACTCAGTTGAAAGGAGGCACTCCAATGGGGATGGGAACGTTGGAGACTGGGAGTTTAAGGAGGGTGCATAAGAGACTCTCATGGGATTCTGCAGACAAAGGAGAACTTAAGGATGGTTGTAATGGAGTAGTTACCCCTAGGAAAGGGAAGGAGAATCTGGAATGAGATAATGTCTTTAGAGAAAGGCAGGGAATGGAAGTACTCTTTACGGATGTAAGAGGATTGTTAATACTGGGTTGAGGTATGTTAGGACTCATATTAGAAGTCCTGTATAAACTGTTACTAGTATAAACTCAGGATATTGCTCATTTGGTTGCTACAGTTCATTTCTATTTATTTATTTATTTATTTTTGAGTAGGAGTCTCACTGTCACCCAGGCTAGAGTGCAGTGGCACATTCAAGGCCACTGCAGCCTTGACCTGCTGGGCTCAGGAGATCCTTCTGCCTCGACCTTCCAAGTAGCTGGAACTACAGGCATGCACTAGCACATGTGGCAATTTTTTTGATTTATTGTAGAGACAAGGTCTTGTCACTTTGACCACGATGGTCTCGAACCTCTGGGTCAGGCAATCCTCCTGTTTCGACCTCCCAAAGTGCTGGGATTTTAGGCTACTTCTATTTATTTTAAGAAATATATTTTTATTAGTCATAATGCAGTGAGAACGGGGCTTCCTAGAGACCAAGTCAAGGACCAAACTCTGAAACTTTCCTTAGTCTATACATTAGTATTTTTTTAAATATATATTTTTTGTTTTAAAATTTGGGGTGCAGTTAAGGGTTAGGTATACAAATATTCATTGTGCAGGTACCTTTGTTAATGAAGTGTGATCCCCTTTCCCCAGACAGATATTGACTACCGTTAATCTTACCTCCTTTCCCCTCCCTGCTTCCACTATAGTTTCCCGCCACTGTTAATCCTTTTCTTATAGTATTATGGTAGTTGTTCAAGGTCCACATATGAGTGAGAACATGTGATACTCAGATCTTTACTTCTGTGAGAGATCACTCCATATTATAAACTCTAATTCCATCCAGGTTGTTGCGAAATTCATGACTTTGTTCTTTTTTATGGCTGAGTAATATTCCATTGTGTATATGTACCGCATTTTAAAAATATTCCATTGTGTATATGTACCGCATTTTAAAATTCCTCTTTTGATGGACAGCATGGTTGGTTCCATGATCTTGCTATTGTGAACAATGCTGCAATAAACATATGTGTGCTGGTATCTTTTTTATAGAGTGATTTGAGTTCTTCAGGGTATATTCCCAGTAGGAGGATTGCAGAGTCATATGGAAGGTCGATTTTTAGAGCTTTCAGGAATTGCCACACTGATTTCCACAGAGGCTGTGCTAGTTTACACTCCCATCAGCAGCGTAGAAGTGTTCCCTTTTGCCACATCCTCTCCAGCATCTGTTATTTTTTAGTTATTGATGGTGGCCATTCTGACTGGAGTTAGGTGGTATCTCAGTGTAGTTTTAGTTTGCATCTCCTTGATGACTAGTGAGGTTGAACCGTTCTTCATGTATCTGTTGGCTACTCATATGTCTTCTTTTGAGAAGTATCTGTTCATATCTTTTGCCCACTTTGTAACAGGGTTGTTTGCTTTTTTTTTTTCAGCTCATTTGAGTTCCTTGTAGATCCTAGATGTTAGACTTTTGCCAGATATACAGTTGGCAATTATTTTTTCCCATTCTGTGGGCTGTCTCCCTGCTCTCTTGATGGTTTCTTTGGCTTTGCAAAAGCTTGTCAGTTTAATGAGGTCCCACTTGTCTATCTTATCTCTTATGGTCTGTGCATTCCAGATTTTGCTCAGGAATTGGATACCAGTTCCAATTTCCATAAGGATGTGTCCTGCATTTTCTAAAGTTCTTATGGTTTGAGGTTTAACAGTTAGGTCTCTGATCCATTTAGAGTTAATTTTTGTGTATAGGGATAGATAGGGGTCCTGTTTAAATCTTTTGTATGTGGTTAGCCAGTTTTCCTAGCACCATCTACTGAATAGGTTCTCCTCTCCCCCGTGGTAGGTGGTGGAGGCTTAGTCGAAGATGAGTTGGTTGAGGAATTGAGGTTTTGCTTCTGGAATCTCACTTCTATTCCATTGGTCCATATGCCTGTTCTTGTACCAATACCAGGATGTTTTGATAATTGTAGCTTTATAGTAAAGTTAAAAGTCTGGTAGTGTGATATCTCCTGCTTTGTTTTTTGTTTGTTTAGTTTAGTTTAGTTTAGTTTTGTTTTTGCTGAGGATTGTTCTGGCTATTCTTGGTCATTTGTGTTTCCATATGAATTCCTGCATTGTTTTTTCTAAATCTGAGAAGAATGTTGCTGGTAATTTGATGGGTATTGCATTAAATCTGTAGATTGCCTTAGGTAAGATGGACATCTTCACAATGTTGATTCTTCCAATCCATGAGCATGGAATATTTTTCCACTTGTTTGTGTCATCTTTGATTTCTTTGAGCAGTGTTTTGTAGTTTTCATTGTAAAGGTCTTTCACTTCTCTGGTTAGGAAGATGCCAAGGTATTTCATTTTTTTGTGTGTGGCTATTGTGAATGGGATTGTGCTTTTTATTTGGGTTTCTGTTTGTTTATTATTGGTGTAAAGAAATATGATTGTCATTTGCACATATATTTTATATCCTGAGACTTTGCCAAAGTCCTTTATCAGTGCAAGGAGGTTTTTGACAGATTCTCTTGGGTTTTCAAGGTATATAATCATATTGTCTGCAAAGAGAGATAACTTGACTTCCTCTTTTCCTATTTAGATACTCCTGATCGCCTTCTCTTCTCTGACTGCTCTTGCCAGGACTTCCAATACTATATCGAACAGGAGGGGAGAAAGTGGGCATCCTTGTCTTGTTCCAGTTTTCAGGGGAAATTATTCCAATTTTTGCCTGTTTAGGAGTATGCTGGCTGTGGATTTCTCGTAGATGGCTTTTAATATTTTGAGGTATGTTCCATGTATGCCTAGATGTTCAAGGGTTTTTATCAAGAAGGTGTGCTAAATTTTATCAAAAGCTTTTTCTGTGTCTAATGAT